AAACGACTTCACCGTCCAAAATAAATAGAGATGGAGAGAACACGCCGCGAACCCCTCGAGCAGGGTTAAGTCCCTGCGAGTAACACTCGGCAGACATCGAGTAGTGTGGCTGCAGAGGCCAGAGAGTTGTTTATGTTTAGTCATTAGACTCTTTACTCTCAGGAATGTAAAGGAACTGAGTGAGAACAGGCTAATCTGAGCCTTAATGCTGTTGAAGATGTAATTACAAATGTGTTCATTTAACAATTGTATTGTTGTACGAAAATCAGGAATTCTGTTTTTCAAAAATAATTAGAAGTCATGTTTTTAGGCTCTGTGAACACTCAGAAGATGGAGGCAATGTATGCCCAACGTATGCTCCGTCCTTCGTTTTCCTCCTAACGAGGACTCCTTATCAAAGCAGGCTGGCTTTATCTCATTAAAGCAGGCGAGAAGAAAAAAAAAAAAAAAGCTGTAGTTCCAATGGGAAATGAAACAGTTTTGGCCGTATTTGCTTTGTTATTTAGCTAGAACAGCTCTAATTAATTACTCTCATCTTCCTCACTCTATTCATTATTCTAGCTGTAAACACATTAGTCAAATGAAATGCCTCTGAGCACACCTGGCTTTTCTTATCTTTCGCGCTGTAGACAACAGGGTTTGGTTTCGGCTTCCCAGCGCGCTGCAAGCAGAGTATTAAAGAAGCCCGATGCCATTTATGGGATATGGTACCTGCCGCCTCTTCCACCGATAGCTGCCTCCCAGGAAGCCTTAATGTATGAGATTTGTCAGTGTCAATTTCCCAGCTAATCTCTCCGGTCCACCTCGCTGCTGCCTCTGCCGCCCGTTCATCGTGCTGCTCTGTCTCCACCTGCTCACACTGTATCCCGCTTAGGACACAAAGGCAACGGGACGCCGATGGAAGGGAAAAGCATCAGTGATAGCTGATGATGCAGTGTGACCACCGCATGTGCAAACGGCAGAGTTGATGCGCACCCATGGAACAATGTGCTGGCTTCGTCCAAACAACGGCGCAGGGTCCAGTTTTCACTCGTTACTAACCCTTTATGGCAAGTCGGCTCCTAACAATGGGATTTAACATTGACTTTCATTGATTCACCAATAGTACTCCCAAAATACTGAAATTGAACATTTTAACTTGTTTTTTTACTGAAAAAGTCTCCTGATTAACAATATGATACACTTGTGTAATTGAGCAATCAATTACGATTTCTAAGATGATGGACATAAAACGATTATTGCGCCTCAATATTTCTGATTAAATTGTTTATTTAAGCACAAATTTGTTTCCTCGAGCCCAGATTTCCACATAGATCCAACCTCCTAATTTCGCTCTCAAGGTGAACCAGAAACTTGATTTAAACCTGAATATTTATTCTTTAATTCTGCTGTTTCCACGAGTGGGAAGCCGGTGAGGGATCATGTCAGTGCACCAATGACTCTTCTTTGACATGAAAAGGCTTGAGTTTCAATAAATTCAAACAATTTTTCAATAGAACTTTTACCACAAGACATCACCAAAAAAGGTACGATTATCAATATAACTATGTACTGTATTTCTGCAGGGAAAAAAGTTACATTTTGAGTGTTTGATTGCATCCTTAGTTGATGCTGTGAATGTATATGTTTGCAGAGGAAGAGTAGAGCTGAGAGAGAACACATGCTGCTCACTTATAGTTGTTTTATTTCAAAACATTGTTTTGAAATAAAGCTTTTATTTGTTAGAATATTTCTATGCAATTTAAAAAAAAAAAAAAAAAAAAAAAAAGATTGTATATCAAGTTGACTAGGAGCATAACATTAATCCTAGTGATAATAATGTGACCCATAATATAGTGAGACATAATAAATGCATGAATAGAATACTGCAACAAGGGAATGGAGAGTGCTTTTTCCAGGGGGGGGGGGGGGGGGGGGGGGGGGGGGGGGGGGGGG